AAAAGCGAGACAAGGACCAAGAGTCTTACCCGGTAAGTGAGATGGACGACTCTTACCACGATAAGCGTTTACCGGGTAAATTGTTGCATACGATACCGTTTTGGTGGACTAAAATCTTACCCGGTAAGTCAATGATAGTACTAAATTTTCCGATAAGCACGTAACGATAAATGTTTGGTAAATGGCCCTTAAGTCAAAAATGACATAATTCAGATACCAAATCAAAAAATTTCTCCATAAATAAATACGAAAATCAATCCTATTTTATAGCATTTTTTTTATTAAATAATAGAATTTATAAATCCATAAATTAAAATATTAATTTATTATAACGTAATACAGTGAATCATAAATAATATGCATCAGTTTAGTAAAAATCAAATTTTCATCCCATTTAATTTGTTTTTCATATTTACCAAAATTTAAATATAGTTTACCAAACGCTTATCTGGATAAGTGTTTACCAAGTCACGTTATCTTACTAGATAAATATGGTAAGAACCAAGAATCTTATCTCATAAGAGCGAGGAAAGGACCAGGAGTCTTACCCGGGAAGTGAGTGCGATGACTTTTACTATCATAAGTGCTTACCGGATAAATTGTTGCATACGATGCCATTTTAGTATACTAAAATCTTATCCAATAAGTAAATGATAATATTGAATTTTATTGATGAAATTGGAACAGACTGTTATTGGATGACAGTACAAAATTCAATAAAACTAAAATGATTTAATCTAATTAGTATGTAACTCTAAAGATCAATAGTGAAGGATTTATGCTATGTAATATTTGTATTTGGTATTTTGGAGTACAAACCTTGTGGTTTATTTATAATTTAGAGTAAATTATACCGTTGGTCTCTGTAGTTATGTCAGAATCTCGATATGATCCTTTTTTTGAAATAAGTACACTGAGATCCCTGCAATTTGCATTTCATTTCAAACTAGGTCCATGACACTAACACCGTTAATGAAATCGTCAAGTCAAGGGTAAATAGGTCAAATTACTATTTCTTTTTATTTACTATTAAAAAGGAAAATCATCCACTACACGTGTCCTTCTCTTGAGCTTCCTCCAAGCCACCATCCAACCTTTCCACGTGTCCCACTCACTCACTCTCTCTCTCTCTCTCTCTCTCTCTCTCTCACCTTCCCCAACCAACCTTTTTCTCCTTTGTCGGCCGATCATACCTGGAAAAAGAACATCTCTTTGTTTTCTGCAACTATACATTAGCGCGCACACACACATATATATGTATATATATATATGAGTAATCTATTATGTATACAACCACCTATGATATGTGTGTATATATGAGTAAACTTTTACCCCGTGTGTGTGTATATATATATATATGTGTATATATATATTTATAGTGTGTGTATAGATCAAGTTTTGCATATATATATATATATATATGTATGCACCTCTTTAACCCATTTCTTTTAAAAACATAAATGGACCCTTGACTAGTTTCATTTTTCAAAGAGTTTAAGGGATTAGAAGCTAGAACTGGAGGTTGAATCGAGAATAGATCGTAGTTGTCTTTGAGATTGAATCGAGAGGAGATTAGAGCAGTGGTGGCAGAGAGTGGGGATGGGGTGTTACGCCGGTGGAAATGGAAGCATTTCTCCGGTGAGATGAAGTGGAGAGACTATATGTTGTGTATGTATACATATATATATGTATTTGTCCATGTATATGTATGTATATATATATATATGTGTGTGTATAACATTCATTTGCGAGTATTATATACGAAGTACGTATGTGAGTGGATGCATATGGGTTTTCCTTTTAATGGTGGGAAAGGGGTCATGTTGCAGGTTCATAGCGAGAGAAGAAGGGTGGGGATGTGGGAGGAGTAGTTGGTCGGTGAAAGAAAAAGTTTGGAACAGGTGGCATCATATAAGTGGTGTCTTAATTAAAATAAGACACAAAATATGAAATGAGTCAAGGGACTTACTCGATAAGTATTTACCGATAAAATTTAACATTATTATTTACTTACCGGATAAGATTTTAGTCCATCAAAATAACATTGTATGTAATAATTTATCCCGTAAGTGCTTACCGTGGTAAGAGTCGTCATTCTCACTTACCGGAATAGACTCTTAGTCCTTGTGTCGCTCTTACCGGGTAATATTTTTTGTCCTTACCATATTCATCATGTGAGGTAACGTGACTTGATAAACACTTACCCGGATAAGTGTTTGGTAAACGGCTCCTAAATATCAGTGACATAACTTAAAACGAAATGCAAACCACGAGATCTGAGTGTATTTATTTCAGAAGAGGGACCATATCTAGATTCAGACCTAATCATATGGACCAATGGTGTAATTTACTCAATAATTTATGTTTTTAACTTATTTTGGACGCTGAATTTATATATATAGATAATAGAGAGAGAGAGAGAGAGAGAAAAAAAAAAGTGGGTTATTATGTAACTCTTTACATTTGTATAATCAATACAATTCAATCTCAATCGTTCATTTAATTTGATGAATATAAGATTTCATAAAAGTTTAGATAGTTTGCTAATATAAAGTATTGGTCATAATTAATGAACCCTAATCATCTTCTATAAATATTCAAATCATAATAAAGTATTGATCATAATTTGTAATCGGTTTACAATGTAAATTTTTTTACGTGTATTTTTTGTTTCTCAAACACATGTAAAAGATTTACATTGTAAACCAAATATATATGAAACAATTATGTTAATCACTATATTTAATTCTAATCATAAATAAAAAAAATCATATAAAATAACACATGATACAATAATTCTAAAAAATCTAACTGTTTGAAAGGGTATTAAAGAGAATTTCTCTATAGAATATTTAATTAATAAGAGAAATTGCTTTTTTTTAAAAAGAAATAATAAATATATTTTAATTATAAAATAAAAGATAAATGAATGTGAGTGGACAAGAATCCATAAAAGAAGCATCATAGAAGAGAAGACAAATTCTATTTCACTTTTAATTTCCACCTTTCAAAATGGAACAAGTGTTATAATAAAAACACACAAAATAATCCATCCACAATTCCTTCTTTAATTTTCCAACCCGTTATGCGAACCGAATAATTTTAAGACGACTATTTATTTTGTAGATAGTCTGGAGTCACCGGATTTGAATCTTTGTGGCCACAAAGGGATTTTTATTCCTCTTTGGATTTGAACCTGAGACATCCTGGTACTTTTGATCTTCGAAGCCAAACTCAAACCAATTAGGCATCACCTTTATGGTTTCCTTTTTTAAATTTAAGAACACCATCATATGATTAGATTTTTACACGTTTGAATCACGTGTTTTTTAAGTTTTGATATGTTTGATAAATTATTTAATAAGCTAATTAATGATTGATAAGTTAGCTGGTAGTTGATAAGATAACTGATAAATAAATCATATTTGATAAAAACTAGCTTGTCGACATGTAAAATAATTAAAATGAGTATTTTAAAAAATTAATTAATTATAATATTTTATAATATAATTAAAATAAATATCTAAAAATATGATATGTTAACGAATATCAAAGATATGATAATATGTTGACTAAAAGAATTTCAAATTGAT